ATAAGAATATGGGCAGTATAAAAGAGAACTTATGGTGGAATTGGCATAGCATGGCCACGACTAAATCTCTTGCCCAAAAGAAGACTTTATTGTCTAAGAATAAGAGTCAATGGCAGTTAATTATGTCATTAGTGATTTGTTCTGGGTTTTCTTAAAGTTTCTAAAGTCAGGGGTATTTTACTGACACTTTCATTGATGAATATGGGTTGTGGGTCGTGGATTATGAGTTTTGTTTTATTAATAAGATAATATAATTAAACAAGGGGCATGACATGTGACCTTAAGCTTAGTTTACTTGCGGAATTAGGAGTTTGTTTTATAGTTTCCCATAAGAAAAAGGTGAAAGAATTTGTAACTACCAATACAACTTATTGGATTTATACAGCTTTTCATGAATTGAGTATTCCAGTCATTGAGCTGCATGCCCAGTTTCTCTCTCTCTCTTCTTTGTGCATTGTTCATGTGGGTACTGTTTATAGCAATCCCAAATTTCTTCCTTCTCTTGTCTATATGTCATCTCAAATCGAAACCCCATTTTTCCCGCATCAAAACAGCTGAACCCCAAGTAAAATTCACATTTTTATCCCTACAAAATCCTTTTAGAACTCTCCCCTAAAACCAGGAATTTGCATATTCAGCCAGAAAATTCCTGCATCAATATCTTGAAAACCAGCCCTATCATCTCTTTAGCCTTTCAAACCCCAATTTGTGATACCAAGCTTTAAACATCTTCTTCCAGACCCCCTAGTCCAAATCACAAGTTTCCTAAACCTTATAGCCCTTCATATAGCATATGTAGGCAAGAATTTACACTCTATCCTACATCTCCTCAACTTAGAGCAGAATAGAAGAATCAATACGGATAATTAAGAAAGTTATCCAAAAACCATCTAGAGGAACATTACTGGATCTGAGATCGTGAATCCCATAGCCAAAGGAATCATCCCAAAAATCACCACATGTATCCAAAATCAGAACTATCATCTACACATATGCATTCTTATCATCAAACCAAAAGCCAGCTGCACAGAGAGTCACTTGCGCAAAAAAATATGCATATAAATCTCCAAGCTACTACCTGATACTTAGATTTAGGTCCTCACAGGAAAACAATACATCATTCCATTCAAGAAAAATAAATAAATGACATAAAAGTTACCCCGAGCACGGATCACATTATCCGTAGTGGTCAAATACATCCTCATCTCTTTCACCTATTTAGAAACACAGAAATTAGAGAAAACAGACCAATTGAATCTAACCGAAAGATGATGGATAAAGAAAAAGTTAATCGTACCAGCACTTCAATAGTTAAAAAGTCACTCTTCACGAGAGAAATGATTGAATTCAAGCTTGCAGCCTGTAAAGCACACACATTTTGAGCTTCAAACTATCCTAACCCAAAGCAGAAACATGAAAGAAACTCATGCATAGATTACACAGTGCTACAGTCATTTAAATTGATATACGCTGCAGAACTTGATTAAAGATTCATAATTTAGTTTGAATTTTGATTGTTTATTTGTTTTCCTTAATTTTCCAAGCAGCAAAACACAGGATTAAGGAACTCAAACTAGTAGAGACTTTTCACTAAAAAAATATTTAAAAAATCGAGTAGAAATTGAATGGAGCGTGAACCTGCTCGGTAGGAGAGCGAGACGTGTCGACGTACAACTCAATGTGCTGAATCAATTCGGTGGTTTCGGCCATTGCTAGAGAATAGAGAGGTTTCAGGGTTTTAGGAAATATTGAAGAAAGGGGAGGTTTTTGTAAGTGGGAAGTTTGAAACAAAGTCTTTGAGTCGGACGCCCGGTGTCACTTGAGCTCAAAAGGGTTTTCTTTCTTTTTTCTTTCCCCTTTTTTTTTCTGTAAATAAATGGTTTGTTGTTGTAAATTGTACTTGTAACACCTCATATTTCAGTAGATCACGTTAGGCTAGTTGATCGGGACAGTAAGTTTTATATCAAAGTTTGGTTTCATTTTCCGTAAATCGATTGTATTAAAGATAAATTAAAAAACCCTAGTTTTCCCAAAAAAGAAAAATTGGTATATAATTTTTCAACAATTTCTTAGGTCTGAAAGTGCTACATGTCTTGTGGTTTATTGTTGTGTTGTATAGTTTGGAATTTGTATCAAATACCTATTTTAACATAACTTGTTTAATTAGTCGTATGAGATTCTTTTACACTAGGATTTTTTGAATGTGTTCGACTTTATTCATATATCCTATGAAATAAGAACTAAAAATTCATTCTTTTATTTTTAGGCTAAATATACACATGATTTTTTTGAAGGAAACAGAAAAACACACATGAATTAGATGCTAGTAAAATCAAGAAAAATAATTATAGCGATATTTAACAAGCATTTGTTAGTTGTTCTTGTCGGATAATACTTGTCTTGACCTGTTAATTTGTGTTAGATTCAATTTCAAATCACATTATGGTATGGTGGTGTTAAAAGTAAAAGTTATCATCTCTATGTACATGAAAGAAAGGCTTACAACAAACATGAAAGAAATTATAATTTATAAGCCAAGAAGTCTGCAAAATTACATGTGTTGCTGGTGGTTCTATGTTGTAGGGATACAAAATTACATGTGCAAAGCTCCTTATACTTCTAAAAGATACAAATGAACCCACCGTGTACAAATCAGAATTTAAGATCATGAAACTATTTATTCAAAAGCCATTTGGTAATCTCCATCTCAAGAAACCTCATCCAATCGATCAAGAAATCCTTTATGAGTTACACAATCATTAAACAGAAGCTCATTTGAAGAAGCTGCTTCAAACTTTGTCCACAACTCCCTCTTTAAGGTATTCTCACCAGGACGCTTGCCCGTTCGAACAACGCTTTCAGCTTCTTTCCAGATCGGGGTGCTTCCTATCAGTGCAAGCCTGCCCCCTACAGGTTCTGTGACAAAAGAAAAAATTTGAATCAAAACATGTCCAGTATGCTCTGTGTGCTCTCACACATAAAACTAGTAAAAGGAGCAAACAATGAATGGCCAATACCTTGAAGACAAGATGTTTTGACTTGATGAATGCCTCCTTGTCTATCATTTCCTTTTGATACATGCAAATTCATTTGCTTATCCACAAGATGACTGGTTTGTGGCAATTGGAAATCAGCATTGTCTGAAGACTCTTCATCAGGTGGATTTAGTAGAACACAAGTTTTGGGAGGTGACATACACCATTCTGGTGACGCTTCTACATGTTTCTTTCTAGGTCCCGATTTATAAGCCTGTTGCAGCGCCAACAGCTCTGGATACCTGAAAGCCAGATCCTCAGAAACTTCACTACCAGAGGATTCACTGCAATATGTGAATCCGACAGGAAACGGGGTAGACTTATGAACCCTGCGATGGCCCTTAGGAGAGGACTCTGAAATGGGTTCAAGCAAAACACAAGATTTAGGAGGAGACGTTTTTAGGCATGGAGTCATCACATTCACGACCATGGAGCCCCCTTGTTTCGAAAACATTGGCGGAGAAACAAAACCAAACTCAATATTGCTTCCTGGCTCAATACCAACTGGTCCAGAAGGCTTACTTGGAGTTGGCTTTGTTGCCACAAATTCAAGCAAATCATCATTTGCATCTCCAAAAGTAGCATGAAAAAAGGGTATCCTATCAGAAGTACCAGAAGAAATTCTCTCAAAGACTGATGATTTAGAAGGGATTGGGGGTTTGGAAGACAGAGACTTTGATATGGGAAGAGGGGTAAGTTTAAACAGATGTCTCCCTCTTTCGATAGTGCAGTCGGCACGCCAAGACACAAGGGGAGAAGGTGAGATAAGGGAGCCTAGTGGACTCTCAACCTCTACACTTTCAACTTCATTTACAGTAGACTCCACAGGAGTGGAGAGTGACTTCTGAAGCCTGGGAACCCATGGCTGCAAGCAGTTGCATAAAGTGCAGGTGAAAATGAAATTCAACATCAATTGGGAAAAATAGGATGTATCATTATGCAAGTGGGATACTGAGAAATGAATTGGGTAAGAATTCAACTGACCTTCATAGAGGAAAGTATCTCAGACAAGAAGTTTGTGAAGGATTCAACTTCTTTGGTTTCTGTTCCTTTGCATTTAAATGCTTGCACAACTAATTCATCAATCTGCCATTCAATTTCAATACAAATCACATTCTAACAGATTCACACAACCCTAAAGAAAACAGAATTTTCAATTTTCAATATAGATGAAAACTTTAACAATTCTGCAGTGGTTTCCAGTTTTAAATAGAAATCTCGAGAGAGAAATGTTGGTACCTGATGAATTAGGGCAGAGAGATCTGACTGAAGGAGCAAGAGCCGATCCAGAGTATCTTCGTTTTGATCCTTTCCCTCATCTTCTTCGACCCTAAGCTTGTGTGGTTCCTTGTCTTTCTTCTTCGCGGTGGCAGAAGATTTCGAGAACCTTCCGTTCTTCTTCGCGGTGGCAGAAGATTTCGAGAACCTTCCACCGCCATAGTTGTTCGCTACGTCCCTCAGCGCCTTCCTCACTGACCTCGCTCTCTCTTCGTTCATCGGCATCTCTCTCTCTCTCTCCCGCTCTGTCTCTGTTACTCTCTCTGCTTTTGAATTTCACAAATGGCCGCTCATTTTCGTTTAACTCTAGAGTTCTTGGGCCCATTGCATTATTGGTCCGCAGGCCGAGCCCATCATACTCCGGCCCACTACATAGACTTTTTTTTTGGTCCACAGGCCAAGCCCATCTTATGACATTTACTTCTCATGAGTGGGTTAACACATGGATTATTGTAATCATTCTAATTACCGGCTTCTCATGCGTTTATTAACATATGTGGATTGCATACGAAAGTCTATAATCTAACCCCTAAAACCATGAATTAAATTGGCTACCAGGCTCATTTCTTTCTTTCATATTCCTAACTTCCTCCATTCATGATTTCTCTACATTTTTCGTAAGTAAACATACCCGGCCGGAATCTTTTTCTCTCTTGGTATTCCAATTTTCGTAAGTAAACATACATGTCCCTCTTCTCTCTCTTTTTTATTTAATAGATTCCATTAAAATTCTAATCGAATATCCCTAAATTTTTAAAATCCTTAATTTTTCCACATTAGTATCATGTTAGGACAATTGTGTAATGCATTGGCCATAAAAGAAATTATTGTGCCGTACATAGTTTTGTGAGCTCTACCTAAACTGAACCTAGACACATTTCCGGACCAGGTATCCATACCATCACTCCCCAAAACCCCCTAATCCAGTGACAAACTCACCACAACATTGCAAGCCGGCGCGTCAACCCCACGCGCCACCACCGCACACACAGCGACACCATGGCGGGTAGTTTTGTGGAAATCCAAATCCCGCAGCAAAAGCTCTACAGCGGAATTCAATTCCCGGTAGTCATAACTCCGAGCCCCGCAGTCTCTGCTCTCACCAAAACCATCGAAGCCCAGAAACCCTATCTGGAGGCCCAGCTCCGAAAATCCGGGGCCGTGCTCTTCAGGGGCTTTCCAGTCAATTCAGCCTCGGACTTCAACGACGTCGTCGAGGCTTCCGGCTTCGAGGAGTTTCCTTACGTCGGCGGAGCCGCTCCCCGGACCAACGTCGTGGGTCGGGTTTTTACCGCCAACGAGTCCCCGCCCGACCAGAAGATTCCGTTTCACCACGAAATGGCTCAGGTATATTCGCATCTTCTGTTTCCTTTTTAATTGCACGGCATGTCGTTTTTATGTGGCTTTTCTTTCTAGTGTGGTGTTCTTGCGACGTGTCGTTTCAGGTGCCTGAGTACCCAGCGAAGTTGTTCTTCTTCTGTGAAGTGGAGCCTGGAAGTGGGGGAGAAACTCCCATTGTTCTGAGCCACATTGTGTACGAGAGGATGAAAGAGAGACACCCAGAATTTGTTGACAAATTGGAGGAGCATGGCTTGATATATAACCGGGTTTTAGGCGAAGACGATGATCCTTCTTCTCCAATTGGCCGTGGCTGGAAGTCCACGTTCTTGACCAAAGACAAGAGCATAGCTGAGGAAAGGTATATATAGGTTCAAAATTATACAACAATATAGTTCTGTTTATCTATACAATTTAAAATAGCCTAGTCCTATGTGTACAAATTATAATAGCATGAGTAAATTTTCTGATTGTAACACCACATGCCATGGAGATATAATGTTACGAGCTCAACTAAGTTATAAAACGGGTGCAGTTATTAGCATCTAAAAGCTAAACAGTAAATGATCAAATCTAAATTAATTGCTCGTGTTATGATTTGAGTGAATTCTAAGACCATGTGTTATAATTTGAGTGAACTTGTAAGACCGTGTGTCCTTATGCCACGTGATATTAGGGTAACATACAGTTGTCATCCAATATGATGTGTCAAATGAGCCCTCAATGATTTGTTTAAGGTTTGAAGTTGTTGCACTGATTGTTCAGGTAGTTGAGTTTATGAACAACTAACAATGTGGTTCTGCTAAAACTTTTGGCAGGGCTGCTAAGCTGGGCATGAAGTTGGAATGGTTGGAGGATGGAGTGAAATCTATCATGGGGCCAATCCCAGCCATCAAATATGACAGCACAAGGCAGCGGAAGATTTGGTTCAATAGCATGGTAGCTGCATATACAGGGTGGGAAGATGCAAGAAATGACCCTGTCAAGGCTGTCACCTTTGGAGATGGCAGCCCATTGCCAGCGGAAACCATCTTCGACTGCCTGAAAGTTCTTGAAGAGGAAAGTGTTGCCATCCCTTGGCACAAAGGCGATGTTTTACTGCTGGATAACTTGGCTGTCCTTCACTCCCGGAAATCCTTCAGTCCACCTCGCAGAGTCTTAGCTTCACTCTGCAAGTAGTTTAGCTGCATCATGTATGCGTTCTTATGCGTTGTTCACTACCCCTTTTGGAGAGAGAGGGTGATAAAGCACGTGTTCTACTTATTTGTCCATGTCAGGTTAGGGTTTACGCAGACACAGCTTGTTTGTACAATCTTATCTTAAAGAGTATAATCATATAATGTTTCTAAATAAATTCCATTTTTTTTCATGACATCTCCATCGATGTTTTCGTGAATTCTAAGTATATCTAACATAACACTTGTAAAGGGAGAGAGAAGATAAAGAAGGGAGACAATTTTGGATCAAGAAGCTCAAGACTCCTAGAGATTCAAGATGAAAATATTTGCGCGGTCATATCAGCATTTTGTCAAGTAGATAATATACTGCATCCATGTGCATTGGCCATTGTCTCAGTGTATTTCTGAGTATGCTGTATAGGTTTATAATAGAAAATCCACGTAAAATAGGATCTGAATTGAACAACTGAAAATATATATATATATAATTAAGCTACTGAAAGCTCACTCGTATTGCAAGGAAACAACACTTCCTCAGCTCCACCGTCACAATATTTCACATTAAATCAAAAATTTCCCACAAATGACACTACAAAGAATAAAACATCTAAAATGGGGGGGAAAAGGAGAAACAAACCAAAATGGAAGAAAGAAAAGATGATGCATAAATACTACCACCTTACCACTATACACAGCATACAGATAAAAGAAAGGCAAAAGAATGAAATCTTTGAAGGCATCGGGTTGAAAAGGAAGGTGCTGTTCCACTATCTTCCCTGAACAAGGCCACTGAATACCTGGCTGTTCCCAGCAAGAGTAGCTTCCCACTCCACTGAAGATAGGAGGATCTGTGACAGGGAAATCACGATTCCTTTCATGTCAGGCCGTAGGATGGGGTCATCATCTACACATTGCTTCGCTATCATGGCCACCTATGCACCAACAAGAAGAAATTAACAGGTTACTGATAAACATTGAAAAACAGTTTCAAAGGTAAATAAGTGTTTTTGTTTTTCTTGTTTACTCAGATGATATAATTACTTGTACGGGAATAATTCTAAGGTCTACATTTAGCCCTTTCTGGCCCTGGTCTGGGTAGGTGCTCAGTAATGTAACATCTACTTGCCTCCGGATTGAGTAAAATAAGGTTTCCTCTCCCAGAAAGTTGCAAAATGTTAGCTTTGAATGAGAGAGAGACAAAGTAAAGTATTAACAGCCACTTTCTGTAGCATGATAGCTTGATAAACAAACCTAGGGATTACAAAAAATCAATGTCAAATTTTCATATTCAAACTAATATACTATATATGGTTCCAAATTAATTCTCACATGACCCCGTTCCCACAGTCCAGTTAAGGAATAAGTGTCACTTTTTCACTCAGATTGACAAGTAATTTGTATGCTAATTGTCATCAGAAAATTATATGGTTTATCTTTCGAGCACTTTCTTCTATCAGAGAGGTACAGTCAGTGAAAGCAGGCAAAAGTATCCGCCAATCTGTATGAGTTCAAAAGGTGATTATAGTTACCTTGAATAGACAATCATGGGGATACAAGTCCATCATATTTGGATCAATGCAATCTTTCAAGCTTGACATACTCATGGAGTCCGGTGCACTCCTAAAAGCTGTTTGCATCTGCAATTCGGACAAAAATTAGGGATGTATCATATAAGTAGAGCTGGTTAAATTATATTAATTTGAATTGATAACTACTCTAAAGAAATGTTATGTGCCAAAGATCATTAGATTTCTTAAATCTATACAGAATACAAATTATGTCTCCTAAGAAGAACTTACAATAGATACCAGTGAACGTCTTTCAGAATTTTTTGCAGCTGTGCCTTCAGTTCGTATAACAGCCTCCTTTCCCGATATAAGCTCAAAAAGAACAACTCCAAAAGCATAAATATCACTTTTGGTAGTAGCACGGCCATCACTCAAGTATCTACAAGGAAGCATGAGGGCAGTAATTAAAACTTGTTGAATTTTTCAAGGAAAAAGTAGTCAGCTGAAAGTGTACTTACTCTGGAGCCAGATAACCATATGTACCAACAACTTTGGTTACCGTAGCTTCTCCCTCACTTGTTTTACCAAAAATTTTTGCCAACCCAAAATCTGAAATCTAAAATACAAAGAGAAGAAGTTTAATAAGTGACATGGACAAAATGCATACATACACAACACACAGGAAATCACTATAATATATTGAACCTTTGCCCTGAAGGTACCATCAAGTAAGATGTTGCTTGTCTTGATGTCGCGGTGGACATAATGAGTTTTAGTGTGTTCATGGATGTACTCGAGACCTCTAGCAGCATCAAGAGCAATCTGGACCCTCATGATCCAGGAAAGTGATGTATGACCTATGAGCCAGTTAATCATTCACAGAGATTAGAGACATATGCATGGCTCAACAATACAAAGGTCACATACAAACTGGAAAATAAAGTGGATAGCGGGCCAAATTTTAATAGAACCTAACCTGGAGCAGATATTGGGCCAAAGAAAGAAACAAGAAAAATATAGCTAACGACATTCTCTCAACATAGCATTAGCATGTAAGTTGTAACTTACCCTTGTTCTGAGGATCATGCAAATGACTTTTAAGTGAACCTTTTTGGGCATATTCATATATAAGGAAGAGCTCATCATCACTTGCAGCATAACCAATCAATTCTACCTTGACACAATTAAACGAAAATAGGAGTCAGAGTTCTGAAACACTGAAAGCAATAAGCTCCAAAGCTAGAATGAGAATTACCAGATTTGTATGATGAACCTTGCACAAAACTTTTATTTCTGCCAGAAACTCTTTAGTTTTTGTAGCAGTCATTCTTTTAATTGCAACTTCCTAAAACAAAATTCAAATCCATATCAACAAAGATGTGACAGGGAAACTTACTCTAGATGGTAAAAGAAAATGTAGAATATGGGAAACAAAGTACAAAGCTGCAAACCTGCTCACGGAGGAGGCCATAATACACAGAACCATATGTTCCATGCCCCAGAAGACGTGAATCAGAGAACCCGTCTGTTGAGGAAGAAATTTCTTCATATGTGAAAACCACAGGCTTCTCCATGTCAAGCACATGACTGCCGAGAGCTGCAACAAGTAAAAGGAGAGGATCAGTCAGGCATTCCCAGATTGAGGAAGACCACATTTCGGTACATAAAGATTGGATAAGGATGCAGATCACACAAACACACTAACCCTGACACACTGAATCAGAGGACAAGAATAAGGAGGCATCTACGTGCATTTAGAAGTTTTAAATATAGGAATAAAACTCCAATATCATGACATACAATCTATTACACGAAGATCCGTTCAAGAAAAGTTGTTACAGAAGCTCCAATTTATATGTTCTAATTTATCCCTGCCTTTCTACGTTCTCTTTTTTCTCCTTCTACAAATTATAATCATCAGACATTTAGAAAAGCAGAGCTTCATATTGAAATCTGAGGAATAAAATACAATGAGATAAAAGAGTTCAGGCAGTAAACCTTTGGGAATAGTTATCTGCTGGTTGCTAGAATCCCCATTGGTTTGCTTCCAATCTGCAGACTTGCAACACATGTACCTTCCTGAACCACAACAGAAACTTGGCTTCCCAAGAATATGAAACCTAATCTGGCCATCAGGATCTTTTGAGAGACCTCTTCGTTCTTCAGTTAAGCACTTTGATGACCTTAGGCAAACATATAAAAGTATGCCTAATACTATCACAACAAGAACGATTCCTAAACTCCCTACAATCCATAAATATGGCACATGCGCCTTATGATCCACTTGATTTGCTGCAAACAAATAGCAAACAAGTTGTTAGAATTCTTGAAAAGATGTACTTGTGTGCAGTATGTTGTGCTTGAGTGGAGGAATCCTGGGAAAGTTAGGAAGGCTGGGGGAACCATAAAAGAAGAATCAGAAATATGAAGGGTGCTGGAAAAACCAGTAAGTTCTGAAGAACTATCTACTTCGATTCATATTCTCAACAAACTAAAAAAATTTCCCTCAATGAAAATTTGCAACAAAATAAAAATAAAAATTTGTCACCAGTGCTCCTATAGTGTGTTGAAATGATTAGCAATGTATGACAATCAAAACAGAAAAACATTCTGTGAGCTTACTGACATGGCTTTCTCAGCAATAATTGAAACATCAAAGGTAATTGCAAACATAATATAATTTAACCAACATTTTTTCACAAGGATACCAATGAGATATTGCATGGAGAATCCTTTTTTTTTTCCTTCTAATTATCTTGAAATTTGAGCAACTTTCAGCTGATTCAAAGAAAGGCAGCATAAACTTGAACTTAGGTCTCTTACAGAAATCACTTTATCATGTATACTCAATGGTTCCACTTCTTTAAAGTTTTCAGCTCTTCTTCTACATTAAGCTCAAGAAAACATGTTAACAAGCGGATTACTTACCAAAGCAACTGGTTTTCAACTTTTAATTTTGTACATTATGTCAACAAAACTAGCAGTTCACCAATTCCCAGAGAAATATAAAGTTATAATTCCTCGTAATATATCAAACTATACCTGAAGAACTGTCAATGGGTGGAGAAGGAACAGGCGCAGGAGGAATACTCTCCAAAGAATAAGGCTCACCAGGAACTAGAAGCATGATAAAAATAAAATAAAGTTAATAAGTAAAATACACTTTTACAATAAGGGTGTTTAACTCTAATCATAATGCTTATTGGAAATTGATTGGAAATCATCCAAGAACTAGAATATCCTCAAAAGAGATAGGCATGCATAAGACATGATAACATAATGATTTCTACTCAGCAGATTTCCCTAGTGAGCACTGTCCATTTGCCCAACAAAACATTGGATATTTTACTTTTCATAACAGAATATACAAAGGAGTTTACAAAATGGTAGAAACGAAGACAACTAACATTGGTAGCAAATGTGGTAAAAGGTTTTTGTTTTTCCATCCACTACTTCTTCAGGGACAATCAAAATGAACTGATGGCTGCTCCAATGAAGATAACAAGGCATCAATAATCGATAGACATGCACTATGCCTCGACATGATGCGACAAACATTTCACTCATCCATTCATTTCCAAGAGATGTAACCACAGCTCACAATTCAAAGTTTAAATGAATTGAATTTGCCAACTTTGGCAAATCTAATCAATGACATGCTTAAAATGAATAGCATTCCATTACATGTTTCCCAACAATCACACCCAATGAAAACCTCACCACATTGTAAGTTTCTAACCCAAAATTCAACAACTCAACCAAACCACTCAAACAGAGTAAATCACAAGCAAACCATACGAACCAAAAAGAAAAACAACTGACCTGAATTCAAAGGTATGTAATATACAGCACCGACAGTCACATTATCAGGATTATCAATCCCATTCACTTTCTCAATGCTATCCATACTAACCCCGAACCGGCTAGCCAAAGATTCAATGCTATCTCCATCCCTCATCACATAACTCATCAAATAGTTCCACAACCCACTTGAACACCCACAGAGCAGCCTCAACGATACAACGGCGCCGTATCTGGCCCGCCTAGTCGTGTTGGGCAAAAAAGTCAGCCCACCATAGGCCTCCATAACCATGTCATAAACATACCCATCTCCTGATCTCACAGTAAACGTTGTGTTGGTCAAGTACTTCTTGATCCCATCAGCACAAGAACAGTTCTTTTTTATAAACACATAGCCCCGCCCATCACCACCTTCCACCGTCACGTCTTCAGGTAACACATCGAACATGCTCTGAATCACCGAAAGGGTCTCATTGGCTTCGGGCTTAAATGCTAAAAAAGATGTGCACAAGCGAGTAGTGTCCGTACAGTTCATGGGTGCTGGGGAGAAAGCCGTGGAAAAGCTAATTGGGAGGAAAAGAAGGTAAAGCAGGATTGGCATAGGGGTCCATTCAAGCTTCATGGTCAAGAAATTGGTAGAGAAAACAAAGAAAGTGCAAGAATTTTGAAGTGGGTTATTCTAGTTAGCTCAACTTAGGGTCTCATGGGTTTGGATTATTAAAAATGGTGGCTTGGTCACTTGGTGGAGTGAGATCAAGATTTTGACAAACTGGGTTGAGTTTTGCAAAATGATTGGAAGTGGTTGATGGAGAGCAAGTTCAGCTCAACTGCTTTGATGGGTTTTGACAAGAAATAGTAGATGGTTGGACTGAGATCAAGAACAGACAAACTGGTGTAACTATTGCTTATAGAGTAATGGAAGTTGGTGGTACAAATTTTAGCTGCAAATTACAATCTAAATGGTTCTTAATGTTTTTGTTTTGTACAAGTGGTAGGTTGGAGGAATGAGAGAGAGCAAGAATTGGCAGGTTTGGAGGAAGTGAGAGGGTTTTGAAGAAGTGGGGTCTTCTGGAAAAAATTAGCAGAAGCAGAGTGAGGTTTGGAAATGGAGGAATAGTGACCTAAGGGGGTTTGAAGGACAGGAGATGACAGGAATGAAGGGATTGTAAACAGAGCATTTGTGTGTGTTGTGTTGTGTTGTAAACTCACTGACCCACTAACTTTTGGTTAAATTTGCTTGCAACACAATACAATACAGTGAAAAAAGGAAAGTGAACATCCCAAGAGATACAGGGCTTTGCAGAGAGCCACCCACCTGGAGATATTGGAGATCATGTTTTATGACTAAATTGCCCCTACTGTGGCCTCTCTAATCCTTCTTTAAATTTAAAGTTTTTTTTTTATCAATTAAATATTGAAATTTTAAAAAATAAGAAAAAAAATATTCTACTTCAACACTTTGATTTCATGAAAATTTGATTAAATGAATCAAAAACTTCAAACACTTTGATCTATGAGGGTGCAAGTCGGGCAAGGTCTAATTGAAGTTAAAACTCTATATACTTGATTTTTATTTGAAGCTCGTATTTAATCTAATGAATTTACAAATGGCTTAGCTATAGTTGCTTAAGTTAATTTGGTTGAGCTGAAACAAAGAGCTCAACTTACTAATTGAGCATACTGAATTTGTTTATAAACATATGTTAGAATCAAATTTTGAATTTAAGTTTTAGTATTATATGGAGAACATCACACGAGAAAAACTAGTATAAATGTCGAATTTAAGTTGTAATATCATTTGGGGGTTGAGGTCACTCATATTACACATCATATGAGTTTTTAAATAGTTCTTTCAGTAACACTAATTATAGTAGTATATGATGAATAATTATTGTGTGCAAAGTTTTTATCTTTCTAATATTGGATATAAATTGTCTTCACATATTTTAATAAAAAGGTATTTTTATGGTCCAAAAGGAGTTAGGATAGATTTTTTTGGTCGAATATTTTTATGTATTATCAAACGGAAGAAAACGTGCATGAAGATTGAAAATGAAATTTACCAACCAAAAAAAAAACACTAATTCTGAAAGGGAATAAAAGGGCAAAATGGGAAAGAGATTTCACGGGAATGGCAATGAAGGCTGGTTTTGGGAAAAGGATGGGCACAAGTTGCGAAGAGCTGGCAAAGAAAACGACAGTTTAGTTGGGTCCCACGAATTTGGCGCCAATGTCTCAAAAGCTCGCCGGTAAATTGTCTCGTCACCGGCGATTCCCGCATCAAAACTCGTTGACTCCTCTTACCTTTTGACTCCCGAGTAACCGACAGTGACACTTTTTTAAGGTGGTGTTCGTATACATCAATGTACTTGTAATTAAACTACTACTAAAAATCTAGAGCCGTTTGTTCCTTGTTGGGCATCTCTCTTCTTTGTATTCTCTTTTTTATTTTCTCCAATAATTCAAGTCTTAAATGTTTAGATCTATAAATACGAATACTTTCACGTGGTTATGAGTCATGATTATGAGCAAGGGCGGATCTAGCCCTTTTTTGGCTAGACGGCCGCCCAATCAAAAGCTTTTGTGTTGTGACAGGTTGACTACGAAAATAATATCCAAATTTTGTAATACATTATTTTCATATCATTTATCTCGATATTGGTATTTGATCTATACTTCATATTGTCCATGTGTATTTCTGTAAACATGATATTTGACAGATCGATTGGCTAGAAACTTTTCGATAGGTGGTCACTTAAAACCGGAGGAAGCAGCAGATAGGAGCCCAATGCTTGGCGATTAGTTGTGCGGTGGCGCTTAAAAATAAAATCGGAGAAGTGGGGTTTTGACTGGGTAGGGCCGCACGTGGGTAGGAGACAACTGTAAATAGGTGCTGAGTGCATGAGAGAGAGAAAGAGAGAGAAGATGTTAACCTGGAGACCCCCCAAAAGAGAGACAATAATTATTACCTACTATAACCATAACTCGTACCTGCCTGCATCCTGCTACCCTTTATTTTACGTGTCCTTTCAATTTTCCACTTTTAACTTCCCATCCCAAAATACCATAAAACTTACGGATTTGTCTTACAATACGATCATTCTCGGAGTGGATTAAAATTGGTCAAAATCCAAATTAGTAAAAAGCTAAATACCATTAACAGATTTGTTTACCACACTCAAAAGTCAAAAACATTTGCAAAAATGTGGGGGATTGTAGCATGGCTAGGGTTCCTTGCTTGTATATTTTTTTTCATGTTGCAATTAAGACGAAGTTTTTGTTTTGTTGCCGAAGTTAGAAAGATGAGAGAAATTCAAACACACACACATCACATGTATTATGGGAGCATGAATCCATGACCACTTGAGAGCACATCAAAAGCCTGAGTCAATTCAACTAACACTCTATTGATAAGACGACGTTAATTTGAAGTTCATATTTGTAGGGTTAATTTAAAAACAATTTAGCCTCAGACTAATTTCTTCTCTTATATTTAAACACCTTTCAACATTAAAGGGAGCATGAATCCAGGACCATTTGAGACCACATCAAAAGCCTGAGTCAATCCAACTAACACTCTATTTATAAGACGATGTTAATTTGAAGTTCATATTTGTAGGGTTAATTTAAAAACGATTTAGCCTCAGACAAATTTCTTCTCTTATATTTAAACACCTTTCAACATTAAGAAAAGAAATATCACTAAACCGAAACCTATCCTAATCGAATCAGCATATAGCTTAAACAGAAAGAAAAAAAATATTATCAAAGAATGATGATGGGACCCGGTGCCATGCTGGATGCATGTGGATTTGGTTAGTAAGTATATCTATCTAAATACCTAATTAGGTGACAAAATGAATGGATTCTGTATGAACCTTTAGTTGTACGCCACCAACTATTTTATAGTCTGGAATGAAAATGAATCATTATTTTTGTAGTAAATCCAGACTGGCTTTGTCGTACAAAATATGCTAAAGCTTCATTGCTGATTGATTTACCCTCTTTATTTATTTTGATGTATCAATGAATCTCTGCCCAAGGCCCCACAGCCACCACCCTTGGATCTTGTCTATATTTGGCTTTACAGTTCCAAGAAATTTTGCCCTTCTTCTTAATCACCAATCCCATTCTTAATCACCTCAACTTGACCATGTCAAAGTTTGATGCTTCTTTTATAACCACTAAATGCTTTAAGGAAAATTTCAATGTTCTGCTTATAAAAGCACTTATGAGCATAAATGCTTCTTACCGAAGCGAAGCCCCAAACAGGTTCATATTCACGAACATCGTAGTACTAGTGAGTCAACTATGTAGCGGTTTGGTTCTTCAATGACAATGACCTTTACTTGAAGCTTTGGCTCTGCAAAAAGTTACCAAATATCTACAATTTAGGTGAAATTATTCATTTGATTTCAATAACTTTAACATGACATCTCCTTTTCTGCGGGAAGAAAAAGAAACAAGCATATCACATTACCCTATATCCACTTCAACAAAAATAATGGATGTTCTTGGGCCAACGATTGCCATTTCACCTTTAGCATATGGGCTCTGCTCTAGCAAGCTAGTTATTACCTAAATAAAAGCCCAAAGACTAATTTCCTGGGCTACCTTTTCTATGTGGTTGCACGTTTTTTTTTAAAAAATTCCCATCAATCTCAACTGCAGTTATAAAAGAAGTAACCCAAAAAAAAAGTTTTTTTTCTTCATACTTGTCTATGTATGTCACTTAAGTTTAGTTAATTTGATTGTAATTACCATGATTGATTGAAAATTTTTAATAATTTTAGAAAATTCTAAGGCATATTGCTCACATAGTGAGTTTTCTTTGTTGTTGAGACAAGTGATAATCTACTTATGCCAGTTGGGTTGCATATGTGAGTTAAGCCAATTGGCTAGAACAATGTGTTCACTTTTTTGCAACAAAGTTCGAATCCGTTATACTTGTCATAGGTGTTTGTTTATCAATAAACTAAATGTTAATATTGCTCCTATTGAGAGGGGCGATAATATACTAAACTCATACACACAACATGAATGCTATGACTCAAACTTAGGACCTTGTCTAAGAAAATAATTACTCCAAACTACTACACTAGTGGATTCTTTGCAGAAGTACCATGACTTAATTGGTAGGAATTGATGGCTTATTATTGAGTTGTCATTAGTAAGTTTACAATGAACAATTTGTCATCTGATCTTATGCACAAACACCCTTTATATTTCTCCAAACAAAGCTCTCTTTGTGTTGGGCCAAATATATAAATAAAGCTGCTGCAGGTTAATAAGATCTTACAAGTAGCCCAAAATATCAACAAAAGCCTACCCACATGCTGCAAAATGCATCTTCAATTAATTCTCTTTGTGGACTCTTGGGCTTTAAATATTAAGGCTTTCATAGGTTCAACATTTCAGGCTGATTTGTCAATTATAAGAGCATTTATAACCATACTCCCTATTTATTTAGTGAAAATTTAGCTAAAAACCCACAAAAGTTATTTTAGGTCTTTCGGAGCTCTCTACAAAATTTGAACTCAAATCATACTTCATAGTTTAGGGAGTCATAAATACTATAGTTATTTTTTACTTCAATACGATTGGTCCATTTTTATAAAAAATAATATAAAAAAATAGTTAGCATTAATTAAGAGTTTAAACTATACATAAAACAAAGCAGCATTAAATTATAGGGAGTCACTATGTCTATGAGTCCTTCCTCTCTCATTAGATTTAGGAGCTCCTAGAGATCTCCATATTTTAGGAGGTGAATAGGGAGCATGGTTGGAGTTGTATTTTTCCAATTCATCCCTAAAATTTGTGAATGCTCTAAGAGGCGTTTTTGCTTGTGCCAACATGCCATTGCGAACTTTCGATAAACTTTCTTCGTCAACATAAAAATGCATACTTGTCAAACTCGCAGACAAATATGTCAATCCATTATAACATATCTTTGTCGATCCCCTGCAAATTAACGATTATATTATGATTAGTGCGGCTAATTAACCCAAGTCAATGACTCGTGCCAATCGTTAATCATCACCTAATTAAACAAGTGTGGAAAAGTTACGGCACTCTCGATTACTTTCAAGACTCCTGTCTTAGGGACCAAACGATTGTACAAGTTAAGATGAACCCTTCACATAAAGCTTTCAAGTAGACCTTGAAAACTAGAAATCAAAGTGTTCACAAAACCACCAACATAAATTTCCTTCCCTTTGACGATAGCTTTT